GGCAATCTGGTATGATCAAAGTGTGGCTCGTTAGTGCGCTCAATATCTTTCCCAACAAGCTCATGTATCGATAACAAGACAGCTAAAGCCTCCCGCCGAGCTGATTTMTGCTCTTCTGGATCTGAAAAGTCCGGCTACAGCAAAAACACAACTTTAGATTTTTATTTCAGAGACACAGGAAATCACGACGTGCTTGAATGAATGGTAGAACTCGGAAAAACACACGCGCTCTGCGTTAAAATGATCCAAGTAGCGCCAAAAACGCACCAATTCCAGCCTTTGAACGCTATAGTGCGCTGATCTCTTCCTCCCTCTTACTGTCTGACTGTAAGGAGTCGATCAGGTGATTGATCTGTGGTCTGTGAGGCAGCAGAGCTCCTGCTGGGGGGAGAAATAACATCACAACGCAAGTTCCAGGAGCGGATTTACAGTTGGACCGACGCGCCTGCACCTGTCCTGCTTCTTCCTTAACTTAAAACAAAAAGAAACATGACGTGTTCCACTGTAAAGACTTATAATAACAAATGTTTGTAATATCTGTTTATTTTAGTGACGCCTCCGTGCTGTGCGACAGCGCCGCGTTTCCTCCACCTCCCCCCCGGCCGTTACCTCCCTCTCCTTCCCCGRACCGGAACCAGCGCAGCGGCGGAACCCACTCCACTCCAGTCCGGGAGACAGTGATCGGGCTTCGGCCTCAGGTACATCTCTGAGGCGGGGCGACGCGGAGGTCCAGGTGGGTGAACTTTTTTTTCCCTCAGTTTCCAACCTCTTTTCTTATTCTTTCTTAATCTCCCTCTTTTATTTGAACAGTTGTTCCAGTTAAACAAGTCATTTTTTAATTATTATGTTTATTTATTGTGTGGATTTAAAGTCACATAGATTATCAAGGTGTTTCTTGTTGTTAAATAATGGGCACTTTATCCGTTTGTATGTGTGAACTTTTGAAAATACATCTAATTAACCTTAAACAAGTTAGAGTTTGATTTTTTTCCAAACATTTCAGTCATCTTAGACCATCATTATCTAATAAAAGTACATTACTGAACATCTCAATTTCCTTTGCTTACGTTTCCATCATTTATTGAAAGATTTTTGAAAATATAGTGAGATTAGTCTTCTAATTATTATTATTAGTAGTAACAATTGTTACCAAATTTAAGTTTCCTCTTTACMTAAACATGTCCCCCTCCACTTTAGCCTTCCAATTCATCCTATTGGCCTCTTGGCACACTTTGAAATGTTTATTTATTTATTTTATTTTATAAAAATGTCCGTTCTGTTTGCCAGTAGACACTGTTAAAACCGAACTGAAGGACTTTTTCTATATCATTTCCCCCACCTTTCCTCCCTGTAACACCCCCCCGCCCCCCCCACCCCGCGTCTCCCACCACCTCACCTGTAACTACAAACTTGTACACAATAATAACAGCCACATGTATCCATCTATCTCTCTATCTGGCCTGTCGGCAGTTAGTGGAGTGGCTGAAAGACTCGCAGGCGCGAAAGGTCAGTTAATCAATGGTTCACAATTTGACAAATCCCAGCGACTCTTATCATCCTCACGGGCRTTTAGAGCCGAAAGGAGGACCACCAAGATAAATGCTTAATCCTGGCCGCTCAGAGACACAGAGCGAGAGAGAGGACAAGCGCGGGAGAGCCGGTAAGCAGATGGGCATGCAGAGCCAGAGGGAGGGCTGTTTGTTGGTGAGTAGGGGGGGGATACATGAAAGAAAGAAAGAAAGAAGTGAAGTGACTCCGAGCAAAACTGGAAGGTGAAGAAATGCGCCTGCGTTTGGAGAAATGACAGCTCGCTGCTTTCGTCTGTCACRTTCAAAAGAAATGGGGCGACTCGGCGTCTCTCAGATCACCGACTTTGCCTCGGGCTGGACAGGCCAAGCGCGTGCCTTCTGGGCTGACATGAAAATCCTGCTTGGGTCTTAGTTATGGCTTTGACACTGTGTGTAAAGTTGAGAAAAACCTGAGGAAAACAAAGGTGTATGAAGGCTTGAATTCTCCCGTGGCATGTTAGCYCGCCTGCAGCAGTGTGCAACCATGAGGAAAATGAGCTTTTGTCCACAAGGCTGGCCTTTTTCTTCCCTCGATTTTTTGAAGCTGCAGGGGTTTGGAAGGTGGCACACTTTCTGTGCCATGCACCCTTAACAAAGATCACCTTTGTGTGACATGAATCTGTTGTTTTTTTTTAGTCAACTATCTAGTCTTTTTTACCTCTTCTTCTAGTTTTATTGAAAAACATCTTGTCTGCTTAAAATGGCACCAGTGTCATCAAAGAAGTTGCCCTGAATTTGGATGTATTTTCATTTGAGTACTTTTCCTCAACCCATCTGTGTCCTTTACCGTCATCTCAGTGCAAGCTCAATTTAATTCGATTGAGATTAGTTGAACTGGCATGACAGCAGATCCGTGGTATTGCCAAAGCACTTAGGAGGCAATGACAGGAGCACATCGACGTCTTCTAACACGACACTGCGAGTGGCCAGCCTTGTAGAGAGACTGAGACAGACAAATACACAGACTCAGACAAGAATGGAGACAGACAAGCAAAAGAGGTGTTGGCCAATCTCAAAATGATGAAGTCAAAAGATGAAGGGGAGAGAAAGGATGAGGAGAACTGGATGGCGAGCAGAACAAAATCGTGACAGAATTTTCTCCGCAAACCATGAAAAGAATGACTGGCGCTCGGGGAGAATGATGGGCAACGCATGAAGACGAGGTAGGACAGAGAAGGTGACAGAGGAGGAGGATGAAGTGAGAAAGCCCGGTAGAGAGAAAACTAGAGGACAAGAAATAAAGAAAGGAGTGCAGAGGAGGACAAAATGTACAAGAGTGATGTATGAGAATAGGGGAAAGGAAGAGATTTACTAGAAGAGAGATTAAGTCAAGTTGTCCCCGGTCAGTCATTAATCCGATTTAAGCGCAATTAAGGTGAGACTGATTCCTTCCTACAGAGAAAGAAATAGATGGAGAGGCTGAAGAGATCAGGAGGGAGAGTTGCTGTGGTTTGGTGGGAGGCAAGGAGGGAGACAAGGATGGAGTGATTGAAAGAGAAAAGTGGGAAAACAAAAACAGGTGTCTGAAGTCAGAATGCTTTTAAGTGGGTACATTAGAGCCGTTGCAGTGTACTCCTTAGCTCGAACAGAATTCTGTGAATGGATTTAAACTCTTGATTTTTGATTATTTCTTATTATTGTAAAAGCAGCTAATCAGGCCCTTCTATCTGCTGTCGGTGAGATTATTTCTGCCACTGAAGCTGGAAAACTGAGTTTAGAGGGGAAATTTAAGCAGCCGTTTCACTCGTCAAACAAGRCAGCGCAAGGCAGGCTGCCCAAAAACGAGGGACAAAAGTGACACATCTCCTGCGATAGAAGCAGAAAGCACAGAGGCAGCAAAGAGTTTCCCTCATCCTTCTCCTCCTCCTACAACAAATCCCTGCTCTGTTGTTCCAGATGTGTATCAGAGGTCGCGGGGTCGACAGAAGGGTCCCTCCACTGCTGTAGCATCTCTGTGTCTATTGAGAGATGGTGGTCCCGATAGCTGGGGCGTCTGACACGTACACAACAGTACATAAATCAAACGTACACATGCACACGCTCCCCTCCATTTATCTCCCACTCGAGCAGTGCAGTGATAGCAGCCAACTCTGCATAGAGG